GGATTCCTAACTTTATTGACAAGCTAAGAGCTGTTGCCTACATCAGCTCATTTGAAAGCATTTTTATTGTTATGAGACATACAAGTAGGGAACAGGATGAAGTTGGAGCCATCTGTGGGCCAGCATTTTCATCTGATCAACTGATTTTATCTCGTTGACATCATAATGCTGTACGAATGTGTTCCATACTCAGGTCATCCTGGGGATAAATGATCTCAGTAATTAGGCAAGAGAGGGGTGGGCTGACTGCATTTTCTTGGATTGTAAGAAGGCTTTCGACACAGTTCCGCACAAGAGAGTAGTGCAAAAGCTAGAGGAGCAGGCAGGAATAACAGGTAAGACACTGTAATGGATCAGAGAATACCTGACATGAAGGAAACAAGGAGTGATGGTACATGACGATGTTTCAGAGTGGGCGACTGTGACGAACGGGGTTCCACAAGGGTCAGTCCTAGGATCAGTGCTGTTTCTGGTAAATATGAATGACATAACAGAAGGAATAGATTCAGAGGAGTTCCTGTTTGCAGACGGCGTGAACCTAATGCAGATAATTCAAGTGGATCAGGCTGAAAGCCTGGTCCAACAACTGGCTCCTGGATTTTAATCCCACCAAGTGCAAAGTCATGAAGATTGGGGAATGTCAAAGAAGACCGCAGACAGAGTACAGGCTAGGGAAGACAAAGACTGCAAACCTTATTCAAAGAAAAGGATCTTCAAGTGAGTATAATACCGAACACATCTGAGGAGCACATCAACTAAATAACCGCTGAAGCATATAGGCGCCTGGCAAACATAAGAATAACATTTCGACACCTTAAGAAGTAATCGTTCAAAACTATACTCCATGTACGTCAGGCCCATGCTGGAGTATACAGCACCAGTATGGAACCCACACCTGGTCAAGCACGTCAAGGAATTGGAGAAGGAGCAAAATTTGAAACAAGACTAGTTCCGGAGCTAAGGGGTATGTCCTACGAGGAGAGGTTAAGGGAAATCGACCTGACGACACTGGATGACAGGAGGGATAGGGAGGACATGATAACGATATACAAAATACTGAGAGGAACCGACAAGGTGGATAGGTACGGAATGTTTCGGTGATGGGACACAGCAACAAGGCAAGTTAAAGACTTGGATGAGTCAGGTATGTTAGGAAGCTTTTCTTCAGCCACAGAGTTGTTAGGAAGTGGAACAATCTGGAGAGTGATATAGTGGAGACAGGATCCACATATACCATCGTCTGCCGAGTCTTTTGCTTTCACAGGGAGTGATTTTCGTGTGCAAATTTGATACTAAACTCTCTAGGATTTTCCAAGTGTACCTCTCCCGCCTGCGTTCTAGGGAATACAGGTCGAAGAACTTCAAGCGTTTCCAGTAATTTAGGTGTTTTATCGCAGTTATGTGTGCTGTGAAGGTTCTTTGTACATTTTCTATGTCAGCAATTTCTCCTGCCTTGAAAGGTGCTGTTAGTGTGCAACAATACTCCAGCCTTGATAGAACAAGCGACCTGAAGAGTGTCATCATGGGATTGGCATCCCTAATTTTGAAGGTTCTCATTATCCATCCTGTCATTTTTCTAGCAGATGCTATTGATACAATGTTGTAGTCTTTGAAAGTGAGATCCTCTGACATTATCACTCCTAGGTCTTTTACGTTAGTTTTTCGCTCTATTGTGTGGTTGGAATTTGTTTTACACTCCGATTTAGTTTTATTTCCTCACCCTTTCCATATCGGAGTAATTGGAATTTCTCATCATTGAACATCATATTGTTTTTTGCAGCCCATTTAAAGATTTGGTTGATGTCCGCCTGGAGTCTTGCAGTGTCTTCAGTGGAGGACACTGGCATGCAAATTCGAGTGTCATCTGCAAAGAAAGACACGGCGCTGTAGCTTACATCCTTGTCTATGTCAGATATGAGGATGAGGAACAGGATGGGAACGAGTACTGTCCCTTGTGGGACAGAGCTTTTCACAGTAACCGCCTCAGACTTTATTTACTACAACTCTTTGTGTTCTGTTTGTTAGGAAATTATAAATCCATCTACCAATTTTTCCTGTTATTCCTTTATCATGCATTTTGTGCACTATTACACTATGGCTACATTTGTCAAAGGCTTTTGCAAAGTCTGTGAATATTACATCTGCATTTTGTTTGTCTTCTAGAACATCCAGGACCTTGTCATAGTGGTCCAGTAGTGGGGACAGGCAGGAGCGACCTGCTCTAAGCCCATGTTGCCCTATGTTGTGTAATTGATGGGTATCTAGATGAGTGACAATCTTGCTTCTTAGAACCCTTTCAAAGATTTTTATCATATGGGATGTTAGGGGTATCATCTGTAGTTCTTTGCTATTGCTTTACTGCCCCCTTTGTGGAGTGGGGCTATGTCTGTTGTTTTTAGCAACTGTGGGACGACCCCCGTGTCCATGCTCCCTCTCCATAGGATGGTAAAAGCAAGTGATAGGGGCTTCTTGCAGTTTTTGATGAACACTGAGTTCCATGAGTCTGGGCCTGGGGCAGAGTGCATGGGCATGTTATTTATCTCCTTTTCGAAGTCATTTCGCGTCAGGATAATATCAGATAGGCTTGAATCTACCAAATTCTGTAACTCGCTCATAAAAATTCATTTAGGTCTTCAACTCTCAGTCTGGTTAGCGGCTCACTGAAAACCGAGTCTTATTGGGACTTGAGAAGCTCACTTGCTGTTATCCGTGTAGGACCCATGTCTTCTAAGTAGGGGCCCAATACTTGATGTTGTTCTCGACTTGGCATAAGAAAGGAAATATTTTGGGTTTCTTTCAATTTCATTTATGGCTTTTAGTTCTTTCCGCACTTCTTGACTCCTGTATGATTCCTTTAGCTTAAGTTCTATGTTTGCTATTTCTCTGACCAGTGTCTCCCTTCGTATTACAGATATATATTGGCCTCTTGTAGCCGCTCTGTTATTCTTTGACTTCGCCTGTATAGTGAGCGCCTTTCTCTTTCTAGTTTACATCTTTTCTTCCTTTTCCATAAAGGAATATGCCTCGAGCATACCTCGAGTGCCGTAGTGTTAATTTTTTCTAGACATAGGTTTGGATCCGTGTTGCTAAGGCTATCTTCCCGGTTTATATCATTTAGGACTTGGTTTACTTGGTCCCACCTTACGTTTTTTTTTTTTTTTTTTTTTTTTTTTACACAGGGTTTGACAAGGTTAAGGATCCCTAGCTTTATTGACAAGCTATTTACAGGTTAAGGATTCCTAACTTTATTGGCAAGCTAAGAGCTGTTACCTACATCAGCTCATTTGAAAGAATTTTTATTGTTATGAGACATACAAGTAGGGAACAGGATGAAATTGTTACTGAAGTTGAATTTGGTGAAGGCTTCCTTGCGACTGATCACATTTTGTTGGTCTGGAGTCCCGCGCATAAGTTTGAACCTCTATTATGTTGTGATCTGAGTATATTGTTTTTGATATGTTAATATTTCGTACCATTTTCATTGTTAGTGAAGATGAGGTCCAGTGTATTCTCCAGTCTTGTAGGCTTTATTATTTGTTTGGTTAAGGTGAATTTGGTGCAGAGATTTAAAAGCTCATTTGTGTGCGAATTTTCATCTGAGCTGCCTCCTGGGGTTGTCTCTGATACAGCATTATTTGTTACATTCTTCCATTTTAGATGCCTTAGGTTGAAATCCCCCAGGAGTAAGATGTTGGGGGCAGGAGCTGGAAGATTTTCCAGACAGTGGTATATTTTCAAAAGCTGTTCCTGGAATTGTTGGGAAGTTGCATCCGGAGGCTTCTATACGACCATAATGACAAGGTTTTAGTTCTGAATCTTTACTGCCAAAACATCACCATCATTTGAGGCATTTAGTAGTTCCGAGCATATAAGTGACTGTGATGTACAAGCCAACCCCCTTCCCCCCTTTTGCCTGTTCACTCTGTCGCATCGGTATAGCTTGTAACCCGGGATCCATATTTCATTGTCAAAGTGGTCCTCTATGTGGGTCTCTGTAAAAACCGCGAACGTTGCGTTTGACTCTGTACGCAATCCACGGATGAAAGGTATTTTGTTGTTCGTTGCTGACTTTAGACCCTGTATATTTGCAAAGATGAATGTCGTCGTACTGGCGGTATGTGGGTTTTTTTTCTTGGCACTAATATCTGTTGTTTTGGAGTGGAGGCCATTGATTGTGATTCCGTTCCATAAGTGATCGGAGATGGTGTACGATTTCTGTCATTTCCTGCCAGCTTTCTTTCCTTCCTGGCGCTAAAAAATCTGGATGTTTTGTATCTTCTTGTCCCCTTTAGGTGGTGTGCCTAGCAATATATGTTATAGCATTGTCTTTCCTGAACTGAAAAATGACACATTCCAGGGTGGAAAAGCTTACAGGAAGGGAGATTGCATTTTCCTGTTGTCATATGGGCACGGTATTTTCTTGGGTGGTCAAAGTTGCACTTCTCATCTGTTTTTCTAGATATTCCATGCCTGCAGATACTTAAGGCATAGAATTTATATAGTTAGGAATACAGAGAAATGTGTATTTCATGGCCATCATAGGCTTTAAACCTTATTAACTAAGTGTAACAAGCCTGTTAAATATTTGATCTTATCGAACTATACCAAGTTTAAACTTGAAATGTTTAAACTTTGGTATGGAATGTAAATGAAAACTTGCTTGTAGAAAACTTCTAGTAACCGCTAGTTGATCCTGATGTGACTTCATCATGCTGGTCCTGCTTACAACACTTATAAACAGTCTGTTGCTAAGCTGAGCACTACTCTCTCACTAGCATATATATACATACATATACATATATATACATATATATATATATATATATATATTACATATACAGAAACTGCCTTCACTTAGTCCCGGTGAATTTACAGTTTTCTTCAACGTAGGTTCATAATTAAGAATAAACCATTACGTTTAATTAAAGAACGCACTCTTGGGTTTAGCAGGTATATATTTCTAACATGTGAAAAGTCAGTATAGGAAGGAGGTTGTGGCAGCATCTCAGACGGTCAAGGACATGCGAGCCAGCCAGCCAAACAACCTCAGTCTTCAGTGTACTCTGGTGGAGGCTTGACTGTGTTATCTGCACCCTACACACTAAACAAGGTATATTTAATGTATAATTTAAACGTGTACTTCAGGAAAGATACTTTCTTATCATTATTACAGCCTTTGTTTTACACTTTACAGTTCTCGGGAGATGTTGCTTTTATGAAGGGAATAAGAGAGGAAGATAAAGGAGGAAATGGAAGATACTGAAGGAGGGAAGGAAAAAAGGACAGTGTTTGGGTCCTGCCCCTATATCTTAAATATTACCAGCTTCTGGTAACTTAACCCTTTCATATATAATGTTAAAACTATGTACGAAGTTCATCCCAGTCTTTTCCGCATCCAGTTTACCGATCTGAAATTTAAAAAAAAAAAACTAACATCTCCAGGTATACTCCTGTGATACGTTTCTTGGCAATGCGTGTCAAACCTTTTATTTCTAACCATTTAATCAATTCCTCTTAGTATCTAGTATGTCGTTGCCGCGTCTCCATTAGTCCTCACTGACGAGTTTTTCAGACTAGTTGTTTTAGTCTCCCATAGTATACTCTCCTCAGATTGGGAGACGCGAGTGTGATCACTCAACCGCGGCAGGTGGCAGTAATAGTTTTATGTTGTCTGATGACAAAGTTAACATGTGATTTCATGTGGGAGGTCACTCAGATAAAACAGTAGTGGCTCTGGTACTGTACTTGTTACCCCTCACCCCTGGCACTTCCCTATCATCACATTTGTCTTGTCTTTCAGGCAGTCTTTGACCCACTTGGGAACCTCCTTTGATTCGTGCTTGCCCTACTAGCCAGAGAATCAGCTCTGTCGGCAACCGTGACAAAGGCTTTCTTTCAGTCCATATATCTCTGTCTCATGTTCAGCAATGAGACTATAATTCACAGAACTTGAGTAGGCTTGTAAGACAGGATATATCAACCATGTGTGAGAATATGTGCGGATATATGTGTGCTGTATATATGCTCTTTCTCCCACCCCAAAGTGTTTGTAGATATACCTCGGTATTGCGAGTAGCCAAAATGCCTTGAAACTTGTTATATATGTAAGGAATTGGACCTATGCTTTCGATTCGTTAAATTAAGCCTGAATGCTTTCCATTCCCCAAGGCGCTGTATGACCCTTTGGGCTTAGTGCCCTCCCACGAATGTAATAAGAATAAATTGAATAATACGGCTTTTCCTCCGCTCCTAATTTATAATAATGAATGAGAGGAGAAAAGTGAGGGGAAAAGTTGAAAATACAGTAATTATCTTGTAAGACGAGCCTTGGTACAGTTGGCCCACCAATGTGATCTCGAGGACCAGGTTAGGTGTGATTTCGAGGGCCAGGTCAGGTGTGATCTCGACGAATGGACCAAGGTCAAGTGTGATCTCGACGGACCAGGTCAAGTGTGTTGGAGATCCCCAGGAGTGGACCAGGTTAAGGGTGATCCCGAGGACCAGGTCATGTGATCTCGACAACCAAGTCAAGTGTTATATCTCATGGTTACTAATATGACTTTCCTCTTGTGATGTATAGTAAATGTTAAGAAACTGTCTTACATATAAGTAATAAGAACTGTCTTGTATGTGGTAACACAGACTGGTTGATGTTTATCAGTAGCTAAAAAATATGCATTCACTATTACCTCCTTTATGATAAAGTTGATATGTTAGCCAAGAAGAGTACCCAAAAGGAGACTATAGAATATAGCCTTGGCAAATAATGAAGTAAATAATCAAAATGATTGTTAAAGGAATGCAGTTAGAAGCCTGAGTAGATCTATAACCCACTATGATAACATGAATGTAGATAAGTATGTTTATGGAGCAACGTGCAATGTGAACAGACTGACTGATGTTGTAGTGGCCAGGCTTAGGCTTGGTTACAAGTACTTCTGGCAGTTTGGGAGACACACAGATGATGATCAAACTAAATGTAAATTATGTGATCAGGCATATGGTCACTCTCTTGAACACTATGTGCTTAATTGTCCACTTATTGAGGAATACAGAGACAGACAGTAAAATAACCTATGTGACATGTCAAGATATCTTAATGAAAAATAAGAAATCAGATATACTAAGCAAATTTCCTAAATTTGCTTGTAACAGATAAGTGAACTGTAGATATAAATCCAAATGTGCACCTGTTAACCCTTTTGGGGCCTAGTTCCTAGACCTTTTGTGTATCCATATGCTTTTGCACTACCGTCCACAGGATGGATGTGGGGTGCACAATAAACTAGTCACTTCGGTGGCAAAATCTATAAAATGTGCGCTAATTATCTACAAAACTTTATTGTACTAGACATTTAAGGAATGTATAATACTGACTAAATAATTCATAATAAATGTCCAAGTAATTCATTATACAGTTAGCTCTCTTGTGAAGCTTAGCTATATATTTTTTTTTCGTAAATGTGAGTGAAAAATTTACATATGAAATTGAACACAGTGTGGAAAGACCTTCATAGTATGTGCTGTTCAATTTTGGATATTTTTTTCAGTCACATTCAAGAAAAATTAAACAATGTAGAGCAACTATAAAACAGCTGCCTATAAATATATGTCGTTACGTATAAGTAACATTGGTCAATTAGCAAGAACTAATTTAAAATTAAGTCCTCTCTAAAATTTTCTCTTATACATTTATAGATATATTTTTTTGTTTATGTTAATGTAAAAATTAATAATTTTGTACCAAAGGAATCTTAGAAATCTTACCTAACTATATTATAACAAGCGCAATTTAATTTAGCCTAATCCAACTAAATATATTTTAGATAAGTTTATAATAATTTAATAACAATCAAGCACAATGAAAAAAATTTTTTTCTTTAGGTTCATAATGATTTTTTTTGCGAAATTATTGCATTGCATTATAGGGAGATACCACCTCTAGAATTTTACTGGGGACCCTCATCCTCAGAGAAGACAATAAACGTACCTCAGAGAAAACTCAAGATTCTCCCCGGAGCTGTTTGAATATTTTCTTCTCCTACCACCCCCTATATTTTATGTTATATATGTGCTTTATTAATAGACAGAATACACTGATATAAATCACAATATATCGAAGGTTATGAATCTCTTCCAGCTCCTCCGAAGCTTGACGCGAGCCCAGTATGCAGCATGCATTTTCCCCTCTGGATGGCCACGCTGAGGCGCTGGAACATGAAAGTGGCTGCCCTTGGGTCCTTGGTGGTGTCGATGAGTCTGGAACCTAGTTCTTTAAGAAAACGTGTGGCATGTTTTCCCCATGATCCCAAGGTCTCTGATCCCACTGGGACAAATTGATAATGTTGGCTTATGTCCCTGTACTTGCTGATCTTGTACTCCTCCCTATAGTCAGCAGCTCCTCCCTGTTGTCCGACACTGTGATGGATGTAGGTGTCCGCCAGAGTGGACACACAGGTATAGTTTCATGCTAAGCTTGCCATTCTTCCAAGGATAGAGAAGTTGATCCCATCGGAGCAGCTTGCTGGGTTGTGGGTATTGTTGGCTGCTAGTGACTTTAGCAAGGGTTTTCTTTATGATGTCGTGGACTTTATTGTGTTTTGCATGCCAGCCCTTGGTTTTGGAACAGTTAAGGCCATGTAGACCATATTGGTTGGCTTGCGCTTTGCCGCAAATACACGTATATTCCGTGCGAATTGGGGCAGCAAGGCACAGAGCCACTGCAATACAGAGGGTCTTAGGGTCGAGGCGCATTCCCATTGCCGATATTGGAACTGTTTGGAGGAAGTCCCCGGAGTGAAGTGTGCTCACAGCTTGGAGATGGGCAGTCTCCCTGTCTGATGTTACAGCCCTGAGCATGATGGCAAGCACTTTTTCAGCGATGTGGCCATCCCAACCTGACTGTTTGTAAGCCAGTGCTGCACTAGGGTTTGGTGCTGGAGCAGCAAGAGTCTCCCATTCATCGCAGTAAATATTCAGTGCACATATATAGTTCCATATTAAAGTTTTCTTGAGCCTCACAGAAAATTTAATGCATCTGGATATTTTTCTTTTCCAGCTAGAAGCGACGTAGTAAGATGCCTTTCCTGAAGCTCGACCTACACAACCACATACTGCCACACACTTGGCCTAACCTGAAGGAACGTTATGGATACTCAGGCTTCATTCAGCTTGATCATACTTCCTGCGCTTCACCAGGTTGGTCTTCAACCTGTTTTATTATCCAGGCCGAACGCGGTAATGCCACTATTTAATTATTTAATGATAATTTGGGATTTTTGTCATTCCTGAGTGCCTTTTCTTTCAAGCAATTTACAAGCTCAGTCACACTAGTACTAGCTAGTTAGACATGTTAGACGCAGCATTCCTCAGAGTAACTTTCAACAGAAGTCTGCAAAATACATGCTTTTCTTATGGTCTATATGATTTTATATATACCTTTAATACAATATACTTAGATAAGGCAATTAGTGTTTTTTTATTAATTAAGATTCCGTTATAAAGTGCTTTGTTGTATATGTACATACTCCATATTTAATTTGTTTAATATAAAAATGTCAAGTTAACTTTTCAGTCGGTTTTCTTAAAAATAAAGATTACGTTTGGGAATGTGCAATGTAAGGTATATACATATTATTTTCCTGCTGTCAGACTAGACTGAGTTGGCATAGTTTACACCTGGCTTAGTAAGTTTATTCAGGTATCGAAAATGAATGGTTTTCTTGGGTTATTCTTTGTTATTAACTTTTCATGGTTAATTAGGATACTTATGCCATCATCTGACAATACACACATACTGTATAGCATCCAACTACACGCTCATACTACATATCTCGTCACACTCGTACAGCATATTGTTCCACGACTCTTTGTTACACATCCCATCACACTGCTACATAGTATCACCATTCAAACAGCATACTATCCCACTATCCACTACATAATTACCAGTCCATCATTCAGCTCCACATAATTTCATCTCTCAGCATTCACACATCAGCCAGGAGGGGTGACGAGGGACTCATTAGTGAGACTAATAATTTTCATTACCAAAATTACGAGTTATGTCATACCCTACCTGAGCATGGATGATAAGTTCCCCCAGAATGGCGGACAGTAATAGTCACCTCTAGCTCTGCCGCATATTGTAGGAATATGTGGATACAGCGAGAGAGTAGTAAAACATGGCCACACCCTAAGGCTACAAAATTTGAACTGAATGACCTGACGGTCATGATTTACAATAGAATCATACTTTGCTTACACAGACACAAATGCCAATAGCAGGTCGATAAAAGGGGTGTCCATTCTACGCCACTGTACGTCATTACTGATACTGACAGCTCGATTCTGCTGTCGCACGACAAGAACATTGCTAAGCATCTATATACAAGGAACGTAGACTGCACAAAAGTTATACAGTGCAGATAGTCACGGAATCTAGTAATTCTGAAGTATTCAACAGATAAATACAGTAAATCAATCACAAATGAATTTCTCATAGATGCCATTGCAATGGTGAGTCATTCCTCGAATTCTAGATGAAAAGATATTTAAGAAAGGAAAGTTAACTTAAGAAAGTATCGTGCAGCACACAGGCTATGGTCTGTGTTAGAATCCAGAGTTCGTGGAAGAACTAAACAAGGATCTGAAGAGAAATTATGAATAAATCATATAGGATTTGCATAAGTATGCACTCATGGGGAAAGTAGGCAGGATTTTCTGGTTCCTGACACACAGAACACAAAAAGTAGTAGTTAATAGAACAAAATCGAGCATCAGCAAGGTAAAAAGCTCAGTTCTCCTAGGCACTGTCCTGGCACCTATGCTCCTATGCTGTTTCTCATCTTCATAGCAGACACAGATAGAAACACGCCACAATGTTGTATCACCATTTGGAGATGACACTAAAATAACCATGAAAGTCACTACGGTAGAAGACACTGAAAAATTACAGGAAGATATGAACAATGTTCTCCAGGGGGCAGTAGAGAACAACATGACGTTCAGTGGTGATAAGTTCCAGCTGCTTAGGTACGGAAAAAATGAAGAACTTTAAAGGAACACTGTACACAGATCTCAAGAAGATCATCAGATAGAACGAAAGGAACACGTGAAAGACTTGGGAATAATTATGTCAACTGACCTTTCTTTCGAAGAACATAAGACAAAGATCACGACAGCCAGAAGGATGACGGGGTGGGTATTGAGAACTTTCAAAACAAGGGAAATAATACCAATGGTGACACTTTTCAAATCGTTAGTTCTCCCTCATCTGGAATATTGCTCAGTGTTGACGGCCCCGTTCAAAGCAGGAGACATATCAGAGCTTGAACAAATACAGAGATCGTTTACGGCCTACATGGAGTCAGTAAAGCATTTAAATTACTGGGAACGCCCTAAAGTCTTCAACATGTACTCACTGGAGCGGAGGAGAGATACATGATAATATATACCTGGAAAGTACTCGAGGGCCTGGTCCCAAATCTGCATGCTGCCATAACAAAATACTGGAGCGATATATGGGAGGTAGCTCAAAATAAACCCAATGAAAAGCAGGGGTGTGGTAGGCACAATAAAGGAACACTGAATGAACACTCGTGGCCCCAGATTATTCAACGTCTTACCAAAAGATATCAGAAACACTGTTGGAACAAGTGTAGAAGTCTTCAAGAGGAAACTGGAAAAGCATCTTCATCAGGTGCCAGATCAATTAGGCTGTGATGAATGTGAGGCAGCGGGCCTCCAGTAGCAACAGCTTGGGTGACCAGGCTAGCACCAGACGAGCTTGGCCCATTGCAGGGCTCCGAGAGTAGTAAGACTCTCGAAACTCATCAAAGGTAAAAGTAAATGTAAGGTATCCCGTCAGACACGAAGTTATTTTTATCACATGGCCATAGTACTCGAGGACACTGAACACAGCAGAACACTGAACACAGCAGAACACTGAACACAGCAGAACACTGAACACAGCAGAACACTGAACACAGCAGAACACTGAACACAGCAGAACACTGAACACAGCAGAGCACCTCATGAAACCTAATGACTTACCACACAGAAGTACAAAAATAATAAGTCTGCAAGAGCAGGGCGCTAAACAGTGGTTATTATGTTAGACATGTCTAGACATGGGCTGCAAAGGCTGATAAAAAAAATTTACTTAATTGGCATTACATGCGCTATTGTTTTCTTTTTGACGAAACTTAAAATTAAGAGAAGGTAGCTGTGTCTGAAATTCTGGTTCTGCTAATATGTAAGAAATTCTAAGAATTTAAGTCTTGGATGAAATGTATTCTAATAATGCGGTGGATCTTATGAGTTAAAAAAAATACCAGGGCAAAATTACATAATCCCCCCGTTCCCAAATTTTCTACGTCACATTATACTATAAATTGGCTTGTTTCTTAGTAATCGTTATTTAAAATATGGTTATAACTATGACCATAATTTTTAAAGTGGTGAACCGGTAAGCCAGCGGAAGGCCTCGGTCAGATGACCAAAAACTCCAACGGCGGGTCATTATATAACTAAGACCCGTGTTAGGAAACATGTCCTGTTTCTTGACGAACCAGCCAAACCATCCAACCTCCATCCCATCACATATTCTTTAGCAATTCCACATTTTCTATGGATGGAGAACACGGATGGTGATACAGAGAGTATGTAGACAGAGAGACATATTTACACTTCAAGACATCTATTGAAGAAATGTTTCGCAACGAGCGACGTCAGAGGGAGACTGATGAAGTGGAGAAACGTTTAGTAAGTTTATTTTTAAGATACAGGCACATGTAAGTACAATTATCATACATAGTAACATGTGCAAATCACCTAGGAGAACCCAAAAAAGTCAATGTGGCTTATATCCATTGGGAGTCCTTACTTATTTCCATTGCTTTTGAGCTCTCCATATGGATCCTTGTCTACATGCAAATTTTCTATACATCACCAACCCCCCTCCTTTATGCCTTTAACACAGTCATGTCTAGTGTTGTTCGTCTCATCTCAGGAAAGGCCAATATGATAAAAGATGGTCAGCTCTTCCGTGTGGTTGAGGAGAACTGTTTCAACGCCACGGCTCGTATACGAGACATGGACGACACCGGGGTCACTGTACAGGCTCTGTCAACTGTTCCTGTCATGTTCAGCTACTGGGCCAAGCCAGATGATACACTAGATTTAAGTAGGTAAGTGAATTCCTTAATAACAAACTCTGTGATGTTGCAAAATCTCTGTATAGATATTTGGGAAGCTGACCAGTAAGCTTTGACTTCTATTAAAACTCAGTATTTATTAAAATCAAATTTCCCAGTTTGGGTTAATTATCTTTAAACTTATATTTCATTATTGTTATATAATTATTTATTTTATTATTAATTTTATCATATTGGTCGTACCCCATCAAGGAACTGATCCAAGAAAAGGAAACCCTTCGCCAGCATTCATTCAATATTTATCTTGCAGAAGTGTGCAGACATCGACATCACAATAACAAAAATTAAAAAAACATCTCCACTCCTCCTTCAGAGTGCAACCATTGCACTTTCCACTTCAAGGACTCAGTTACAGAATCCATTCACAAATTTTAAACCTTGTTCACACACTGACTCCAGCAGTACCTTAAATCCTTCAGACCACTTGTCTGTACTCCCATCTAAGACGTTCACACACTCCTTGTGGACGGTGTAGCCCTTATTACTTAAAAATCCCCCTTCATATTTTCCCTCAAACACTGCCTGGGATGACAGCTACCTCTCTTTCCTTCCAATCCAGGTTGTGAAGGGTCCAAGACGGACCGAAACGTCGCCATAAGCTTTTCTCTTTCCAATGTGCGAGTTATTTATGTATTGTTCCAGTCGCGGTATTGTGCTTTTTTTTCTTTATATATCCTCTTGGCTATCCCACTCTGATCCATTCTCTTTACATGCCCAGACTTCCTCAATAACTTCTCTGCCTTCTGAATAATATTTTAGGCTGTTTATTTTTTTTTTTAGCTAAGGTAGGATATTATCTCTTACTCGCATAAATCCAAGTGCGTAAAAATCAATCGAAACTGCATTACCTGATAATATTTTCCGGTATTCTTCTTGCAGGTTACTGAATGACGACATTGCTAAAACAGTGACACAGCATCCACGTAGATTTGTTGGCCTTGGCACAGTACCTGCTCAGGCTCCTGAACTTGCTGTCGAGGAACTTAAACGACTTAAGGCTGACCTCCGCTTCAGTGGCATCCAGATTGGTTCACATATTAATGACTGGAACTTAGATGCTAAGGAGCTGTACCCTTTGTGGAAAACTTGTGAAGACCTGGGTAAATTGTCATATATATTTTTTTTGTATAAGATAGTCACCATTTAGCAATAAATTGAACAGAGTAGTAGGCTGAATGGCAGCTAATAAATATTTTTAGGATTCTATTTGTTGTGTTCATGAGACAATCGAAGCAAACCATAGTGATATTTGGATTACATATATGTGTGTGACAAGAAGAGCTAACACATTGTTTATTAGAACTACAAGGGGTGTAAAGGAATTTTGTGTTAAGTTTCGTCGGCCCATACAAACAAATTAATGTTTTGAGGCACAATCACCTGTTGGTGATGTTCATTCAGATTATCTTGCGTTTACAGAAATACAATACTCGTGTGGGCGTTAAAAAACACTATCTTGCAAAAGTATATGGTGTCCTTACATATCAAATTCCAAAGTACTAAGACTTTCGTACATATAAGCTAATAAGGCTTTTTGGAATAGCTCTAGGGTCATCTCCATATTTTTTTCTTGAGCAGATCTGTCAGTATTTGTACATCCGTGGGACATGCAGATGGGAGGACGTCACAGCAAGTTCTGGCTACCATGGCTGGTAGGGATGCCTTCAGAAACAACCATTGCTATCACCAGCATTTTAATGGGCAACATATTTGAACAGGTGAAGCCTTTTTTCCGCAAAATAAGAATATATATTTCATAGCAGTGAGAACACGATATTGTATTTAACTGTTACAGTACTAATTAAAAAAAAAGATATCGAAAATGATGGTTATTTTACCCCCTAACAAGAATGAGGGGAGGAAGGGAGTCAGTGGTAGGTCTTAATATGACATAAGACCAGCGTCAGAAAGCATTTGTCTTGATTCCTGACTAGCATTACCTAACTTGAGTCAGCCTAATTAATGGCTGGTGCACAGTTTCCAGGGTTGAAAGTGTGCTTCGCTCACGGAGGAGGGTCGTTCCCCTTCACGGTGGGACGTATTCAACACGGATATAACGTGCGTCCTGATCTATGTGCCACCGAGTGTAACAGTCCCCCACGTTCCTACCTGGGCAAGTTTTGGTGTGACAGTCTTGTACATGATGCTGACGCCCTCAAGTTACTTATAAAGGTTGGATAGACCGTGAGCTGTGTTTATAGGCTTAATTAATTATTGTTATTATTATTGTTGTTTCTTCCTTTTCTATTATTTATTATTATTGTGGAAAATACTGTATACTTTCCGAAAATACAGTGTTTTTGTATGTAAATTGATGGAATATATTGTAGGTAATAAAAATTAATTTGTAAATAAATAAAGAACCAGCAAAATGGGTGAGCGTCGCTGGGGAGAGAGTTGCCATGTTTTGAATGGACAAAGAGAAACGTTAGTGAAAATCGGAAGAATTTTCGTCACTCTAGAGGTTATATTGGGCTTAAAACCTCTCAAATAGGAGCCAAAATTGTTGGAATTGCAGTCCTGCAGAACGTGAGAATTAGGCGACTGGACAGGTCTACGTAATTAGATGGAAACATTACCACAGCTGAGTCGATGTCTATGTTTATGTTGAAATTCTGGCCAGTATTTTCTTCATAATTTAGGCAGGGGGTTTTGTTTATGATACGCCGTAATCTCCAGACTAATTGGTGAGTGGTATTAAGATAAATTCTCCTTCAATTTAAATGTGGAAAATTGCATTTACTTGGATGTATAATTATATACACAACATTATATGAACAATCATAACTATTATTTATCAGAGTTACATAGACAAGTAGGAATTTGGGACACCTAGGTCGCAAAAATATCCCCCTTTGATACCTACCACTGTCATATCCACAAGTTGCTCTGGACCTATTAATTAAATGAAATATACATACACCAGGAATACTGGTAAATATATAAATTTGTGGACTGTATATTAAAAATAATTAATGGTTATATATATACACAATTACATAACAGAAGGAAAATATATCTTAATATCACTCACCAATTTGACTGGATATTAAGTTGTATCATACTCAGAAAAAACCTCACTAACTAAATTTATGAAAACACTGGCCAGAATTATACACAAATCTAGAGAGCTTATCTGAGGTTCCTGGAGCTGTCTTGTCCAGTCGTCTGATATCTCAAGTTATGCAGGAATGCATGTCCAACAATTTCGCCTCCTATTTGAGAGGTGTCAGCCCAATTTTAACCTCTAGAGCACGAAAATTCCTTCCCATTGAACTAACGTTGTATCCAATTCAAAACCAAGATGGTGAGTCGCCTCTGCGCAGACGCAGGCTTTCCATTTTCTATGACATAAATATTATTAAATACAGTATGGCCATCTATTTACATATAAATGCTGAATTTCTGGAAAATATATACAGTATTTTCCACACTGCGGCCGGCCGGAGTTCGTTGCTAAATGACTCAAATTGCTCATTTGACAATGGTGGAGGACCTGGGTACATACAGGATCTGGCATCCACACGGCGACATATTACACAAGATTTAATCACCCTTTTTACACTTTGCCGTCCTTGTGGAATCCAGAAAGTTTCCCTAATACAATTTAAGGTATCTTGTACCCCACCATGCATTACATTTTTATGGGCATTTAGAACAATCAAATTTGTTAGATGATGAGTTTCGGGCAGTAAGATAGGGCGTTTAGCATAATCACCCAATTCAGCATTTTGTAACCTACCTCTGCACCTAATTACATTGTTCTCTAAATACAGCCCCAATTTCTCTATTATAGAACCTTTTCACAATTTTTCTTCCATCATCAATTTAATCTCATTTCCATAGATTTCCTCCTGTACCCTCTTTATTCAATATTCAAGAAGATGTGAAAACTTATATGATATATTCATCTTGTTTAGAAATTTAAACACCAACTTAGTTACATTGATTAGTTTGGGTAAAGAAGAATACCTATTATTTTTCATGGTTAAGGGGGACAAACTATTGGAGGGTGGTCCCCTTTTTTTTTTCCAACGGGGAGAAATTATTGTTTTTTGTACAGGCCAATTACCCTTTTTTTTTCCCAACCAACCGGTCCTTTAAACCGGATCAGCATTTCCAAATTTAGCATAAGAAAAACCCTCAAAGACAAAAAAATCGGCGGGAAATTTCCTCACCAGGTAAAAGTTTAAAATTTTTTTAAACAAAATTGCTGCCCTTTAAACTATTATACTTCTCTTGTTTTTGTTTAAATTTTCAGCGACTCTGTTTTGTCTTTACACAATTTTACTTTTTCCTTTACGAACCCTTTGAAAGGAACCCAATAAACCCAAAATTTGCAGGTCGCTAATATTTATCTCCGGGAAATTTATTCTTATTTTTTTTAAAGCAAATTTGACACCTACATAAAGGGCTTTTAAATTTCCCAAACTGAGGTAAGGTAGTGTTTTAAATTGGGACACTTTACCCTTTAGACAAAAAGGGAGAGATAAAAAATATTACATTTAAAGGTAAGCAACTTTTCCATATGCCGTTTTGAAGCATCAAAAAAAAAACGTGGAGTAAATTTTTCCCACTGGTTTTGGCCACCTGGGGGGGAACTCCAATTTTGGGAATTTTTCCCAATAATCCCAATTAATTCCCCCAAACCTGTTAATAATTTCCCCTCGGGTTTAAAATTTTCACCCCAAGCACTTTTAAAATTTCCCCATGCTTCCTAAATTTAATTTAATTTTTCCCTCTTATAAAAAGGGGGGGGGGAAAACACAAAAAACCTAGTGGATCAAAACTTTTGGGAAAATTTTCGCAAGCAAAGCTCCTTATTTAAAATTTTATTGGGCATACTGAAATTATTGGGTTTTTAACATTAACAAATCTCCCTCATTTTTCCCAATTAACCCCAAACTTTATTTCCCTTTTTGGCCCACTTCATCTCCAGGGTAATCTTTACTTATTTTGTCCTTTAATTTGGACAAATTTTACTTTTCCCTTTTCCCTAAAGGGCTTATTTTTTTTTTTGCTTTTTTTTTATTGCCTTCCATAATTCTTTTAACAGTTCCTCTCATTGAGGGTAACAAAAAACCCAGGAAATTTTTCCCCCAAAAAATTTTTTTTTTGTTTAATTACTTTACCAAGGGGACTTTCCATTTTTTTTAAGGTTGCTTTTATAAATCGCTTAAAAGTAGGAACGGACGGGGATTTTGCCCCAAAATAAAAAGTTTCCTAAAGCAAAAGGGTTTTCAGGGGGCTAAGTGGGCCTTTTTTTAAAGGATTCTCACCCAAATAAAAAGGGGGTCCCAACCCCGGTAACCCTCTTGAAAACCCACTCTTAGGAAAGCTTTACTTTTTGTCACCCTTTAAAGGCACAGTGCTTAAACCCTAAAATTTTAATAAAAATATCTCCAATTTTTTCCCGGGTCAACTACGGACCTGTCATAAAACAGTCTTTAAACAGGAAATTTTTTGTTACTCCCGGGAACTACAATTTAAACACAATCCTAAAAGGGAGTGGTCTTAGAACCCCTTTTAAATCCGTGTTGTGGCAAATAGTTCCAAAAAAATTTTGGCTTGCTCAGGGGTTCCTCTTCTTTAAATTTTTTAAATTAACTGCTCAGCTTAATCATTATAGGCAGTTAAAAAATTTTCCGGTGTTTTACTCATTTCGGAGCTAAATTTTAAAACTGCCCATATGCCATTCTGAATTTTAGGGGGGAAATTCGGGAAATGGTTCAGTCCCCAAAGGAAGCCCGCCCCGTATTGCCCAATTTAAAAATTTTACATCTTTCAGGAAATGCTCCGGGAGTAAAAAATCTTTCTGGACTTTTTTTCTTTTACATTTTTTCCAATGCGGGCCCAAATTTCCAAAATTTTATGCACGGCCAAAACCTTTCCTCTATGGAAGAATTATACTGGGGTAAAATTTTCCATGGGTAAGACACCCCAGTTATGGTTTTTGTATTTTTCCTTAGTCATAAATTTATTTTTACGAGGAATCCTAAAAAAATTTCATGCCCCTCCTCCCGTTTTTAAAAGGGGGGACCCACATTTCTTTCCCAAAAACCCCTTTGCAAAGGGGGGCAAAATAATCACTACATATCAAAATATTTTTTTGGGGCCCTTTACAAATCATCCTTACCCCAAAAGGGGGAAATTTACATTATGGAAGGGTCTTTCTTTTAGCTTTCCCTAACCCTACTGTAGATTTTTTCCCTCTGGAAGTCTATCTCCAATTACTGCATTAAACACTTTTTTTCCTTTCCCCAAACCCTTACAGTTACTTAAACAGTGCCATACAATTAAACCCTTTTATCCGAAAAAAAAACCCAGAAAATTTTTTTAAATTTTGTGGGATTCCCCATCTGAAATTTTCCCATACCATCAAGACTTTTTATTTTTTAATGAAAATACGCTGGGACCCCGGGTCCAATAATGCTTTTACTTTTTTTTAAATTTATACTTTTTTCATAAATTTTTTACCTGTAACACAGGAAAGGGCTACTTCGGGAAAAAACCCATCATTTTTTTAAAAAATTAGCAGAAAATTTTTTACATTACCACTGTTTTGTCAGGTTTGTCAACTTTATCTTTATTATAAATTTTTAAATCATATAGACTTTACACAGGGACTATATGGTGTCTCCCTTTGGGGACATTGATAAAGAATTTTAAATTTTTGGGAAATAAAAAATTCCTTTACATTGGGGATTACCTAAACATCTGATACATCTGTCAAGTTCCCCCAATCTTTCAACTTTTTAATTTTCCCGAATTTTAGATTGCAATTCTTTGTTTAAAAGAGTACCCTTGCAAAAAAAACAAACTCTCTTTTTCTGACGGGTTTTTTTATTAACTGGGGTACTCTTAGGAGGGGACTTATTCTTCTTACCAATGGAGGGAACTTTTTTTCTGATTCTTGGGTACTAATTTTGCACCCTTTCAACTCTTTTTTTGGAAATGAATTTTTATTATTACTATTGGATTTAAATTTTTTCCCTTCGTGAAACTTTACAGATTTCCCCGATTATTTTATGTTCACTTTAAAATGAATTTTGTTTTGGGGGGTCTGCAAATGCACAATTAATTTTGTTGGGCCCCGTCTTTTTTTCACCCCCAAAAAACCTTTTTAATTTTTTTCCCAAAAACCATTCAATTTTTTAACAAAATTTTAATTT